AAAAGAATTTAGTTGGGTTTTTTTTTTTTTTTTTTCTAAGAAACTTCACTTTAAGGTAAATCGTGTATTTCTCTCGATACGATTTTAAGAAATTTTCTATTAGAAGCTTAATATATGTACCATCCTGGGCTATTGATTCTTCTTAAGGCTTTATTTAAACTTCGACTCAAAACAGAAGGTTCATTAGCATTTCACAATGCGGCCGAACGATCGAACTTATTTTAATATTCCATCGGGTCCAATTCTTTCTTTCTATTCTCGTTTCTTCCTTCTGGCATTTTCTCAAAACTCATCGAACTTCTCGACTTCATTTCTCTGCACCCCAATTTTCATCTCACCTCCTTCTTCCTACTTATTTTTTTTTTTTTTTTGCATTTTTTTTCTTTTCTTTTACTTAAGTCGACTTTTCTCAGCATCAGAACTCTGAATGTGTTTATATATTTTATTTTATTTTTTTTTTTTTGATTTTCATATTCTTTCCTTTTGATCTCAATTTGATTCACCAGATATTTTTTTTAGAAATAGTAAAATTTCTACTATCTTATTCTCACATAATTTTCTGTAAAAGTATATACGTGAATGTGTCGTGTAGTAGCACCACCTTCAGTGGCTGTAAGAGGAACAACGCAAAAGGTTGCTGAAGCAAACCCCCTTCGTACTATAAACAACCTTCTCATTAGAGAAGAAACCTTATTATACCGAGGTAAACGCCGCGGGATCTAGCGACGATTACATTACATTATTGTAATTGATTGAAGCACATGTTGTAACCTCCGCGTGATTCTTAAACAATAAACTCATTACCCGTTAACAAGGAAGTTCGATAGGGTGCCGTGCGTCGTCCGATAATAATGTATCTCTTTCTCTCCGTTTCATTACAAGCTCGTACTAGTATTGGTGGAAAAAGGATGAAAGAGTCAAAGTAAAAGAGAGATTGCAAGAGTTCGAAGGCTTGCTTGGTTATGTTCGAAACGAAGCATACAACAACTGAGAAGAGTATTCGCTATTTGATCGATCGTTTCAACCGGACGATAGTAAGCCCGTTTGTTCTTCCTTCTCGCACCTTTCTTCTTCTTCTCCTTCCGTATACCTTCACGTTCGTCGACCCTATGCATTGAATGCGACCTCCTTCATACACACACACACGTAAGAATACTTCGTATTCGTTTCTAATAAATGAATGAGTTCGAAGATAAATCTTATTGAATTCTACTATTCTTTATCTATTTATTTAAATTTTGATGAAGATTAACGTAAGATATAGAAAGATAACAAGGAAAGTTAGAATTATTTTTAATATTTTATTGAATTAATCCTTTGCATTCCAAGTTTGTTTTGTCATTCATATTATCAGCAAGTCAAAGTATTTTCAATAGACAAATCGTATTCACATATTATAAGTAAGTGATATATGTAAATTAAAAGATATATTACTTAATTGGTTAATTTACATATCAATAAATAATGATATATTTAAATTAAAAATCATAGTTGATATGTGTTTTAAATTACATTGAATTTGCTTCGGTTCTTTTTTATCTTCAATGCAAAACCCTCGAGTGCAAAGGGTTAATATCGAGGAAGAATTGATACTATTATTAAATTAATCTAAGGATCACCTTGATAATCACATATTGTTACCATGTAGTAGTGTAACACGTTTTGAAAAGAAAAAAATCATTCCCATGAAAAATTTGAATACGGTTTTTTGCCGTATTACGCCTCTTCAACAGGATTCCTTCCTTCCTTCCCTTTTTGGTTCGGTCGACAGAACTACTACGCTGTTAGAAGTTGTGCACGTTCATAAGTATTATTTTTGCGTAATATCATCGTGGCAACGACTTCCCCGTTGATTATTCGCAACTAGAGCATGGAGGTAGAAGAAGAAGACCTTCTCTCGGGTCGCATGCGAAAAGGGTCTATGCGTTAAATTAACGAGCTTCTTCCTTTCCTTTTCTTTTTTCTCTCTTTCTTTCGTTGTATTAAAGATCGTTTCGTTTCCCTTTTCTCACCGAAGTTTTATCATTTATACTTTTTATTATAATATTATTTTTCTAATATGAAAAATAAACTTTTATTCGCGTGTAATACTTGATTCAAGGTTTAGTATTTTTATTTTTTAAATTGGGTGTTCTAAATGGGATAGAAAACTAGTAAGTTTGATCATATTTTTACTTATTATTATTATTATATTTTTTAATACGAAAAATAAATTGTATTTGTGTATAATACTTGATTCAAGGTTTAGCATTTATATTTTTTAAATTGGGTGCTCAAAATGGGATAGAACAGTTGTAAGTTTTACCATATTTATACTTATTATTATTATTATATTTTTTAATACGAAAAATAAACTTAATTCGCGTAATACTTGATTCAAATTTCAATTTTATTATTTTTTAAATTGGACGTTTTTTGATTAGACGTTTGTAAAGAGATAGAAAAGTAGTATGGTTTTTTTTTCTCGATCATGTTACTTTCGTTCTTGTCGCGATCGAGACGTATAAATATGGTAAGTTCCTAGATGGGTTCTGCGTGGGTAAGGAAACCTCTCGACCCTTTCCAACTTAGGGTCAGAGTCAACGTACAGCAGCGAGATTCGTTTCCAGAGAGACCTTATGCTTTGGAAGGCTTTCAAGGTGTGCACGTGCATTCACAAGAGAAAGAGAAAGAGAAAGAGAGAAAGCTTGACGCGTCGGCGTGATACCGCGCAAACACGAACTCCATCGAAATCGGAAGACGCGATGCTACTCGGCGTCCTCTTCCGCGTGCTTGCGCAATGAAAAGAGCATCGAATGCATCTTCTTCTTCTTCTTCCTTCTTCTTCTTTCTTCTTCTTTCTTCTTTCTTCTTCATCTCTTTCTCTTCGTGCACACTAATGGCTTTGCAGAGAATAAATTACGTGTCGTCGTCGTCGTCGTCGTCGTCGTCGTCGTCGTCGTGCCCCGTCAAACGTATCTTCGACGCACACCCGGATTTATCCCGCGTATTTCTACGGAATTCGTTTGACACGAATTTCTAATAAAGAAAATGATTCGTGGCACCACTTCACCCTCCCTTTCTCCCGCTGCCAAGTTGTTCAGTTCATTCTTTTTGAAAAATCAAATTATTCGAGAGGAAACCTATTTTTTTTCTTCAGACGTTTCTCTTCTTTTATGAACACCAAAAAAAAAAAAATAAAATAAAATAAAATCATAGTAGAAACGTCGAGACGAAATAAGGATAATAAAAAAAAAATGATCAAGTGAGGAGACCCCTCTTATGATAAAGAAACGATGTCCATAGTTTTCTCGTGTAAATGGAACACGTGCTTGAAATATTTCATGCTCAACAACAATGAAAGACCGAGGTTGAAAAAAAGGTAAAAAAAAAAAAAGAATAAAAATGTCCCTTTTCTATCTTTGTATCGTGGGTGGTGGTGGTGGTTGTGGGATTTAGCTTTGAGGATATACGGAAGAGGTGTAAAAGAACTGAAACGTCGGAACGCGACCGGGAGAAAAATTCTTTCGTATCACTTGTCAAAGTGAACAAAAAAATGTGCTGAACGAATGAAAACATTTATAGTAAGTTGTCTATCTTTTCTTTTTTTTTTTTTTTGAGAAAAAATTGTAAGTAAAGGGTACGTCACTGGGTTCCCCGTACATCTTAGAACTCCTTCAGAGACTTACGTTTCGAAGAAATCGAAAACGATCGATCATTTTACGTATAAACGATTAGCTGGTTGAAACGTTAGCCGTTGTAATCGTGCATTTCCTTTTTCTCGCACTTTTCTTCGCACTAGCCTTTCATCGAGGCTAGTACACGATCGTCATAAATGATTTTCTCACTGCGAACGAAAAAGGAAAAAGAAAAAAAAAAAAAAAGAAAAAGGAAATAACGAGGAAGAAAGGAAATAAATATAGTAGATATATCGCGTTACTCGCTTATGGTCGTAGATATACGTACGTACAGTCGGTAAGTTTATGAAAGAGAGCAATTAAATCGGCCCGATGCGATCGACGTCGTAAAGTAAGTAAGGCCCGACGCTCCACCGTTCGCATAATGCTTAAAAAACATTTACCACCCCTCTTAGAAAGGCACGCGCCTGGCTCGTACCTTTACTATGAAAGAAGAGCGCATCATCCTTCCTACCTACCTACCTACACACGCCTTGCGTAATTACGCTCACCCAACTGCCGTTGAGAGATGTAATCGCATAAACGGTGAGTGAACGAACGAACGAACGAACGAACGTACGAACGAACGTACGAACGAACGAGGGTTCCTTTTCTGTCTTTATCTATCAGAGAGAAACGTACTCCACCGCCGTCTCTTGCTAACTCTCGCCGAGACTAATAAGAAAATCCTGATAGACGTTATTGCGTCTGGTTACGCGCTGTTAAACGCTACTTCAAATAAAATCGACTCTGCTAGCTTATCATCCTGGTATAGTTATCTTTTAAAATTACAACCTTATCATAGTCTGTTAAAATGAATTAAAATCAATTTAATTTTTTTCTTCATCATTTGTAAAAATCGTCAAAATTAGATTTGGTTTGATTTAAGAATCAAAGTAACGTTGGTTTCATTTCTTTGAAAACAAAAACAAAAAGTGAACAGTATCGTTATCATTGCCAAAGAAGTAAAGTGAAGAAGAAGAAAAAAAAAACAACAACCCCTTTAAAATCCGAAAGCGTCGAAAACTCGTAGAAGCGTGACGTCTACTGTAGCCTCGGTCAAAGAATCCGATAACTGGAAAAAGGGCGTTGGACCGTGTGTGCATTTACGTGTAAGTTAGATTTTTCGTCGTGAGACCGATATCTTCTTCTTCTTCTTCTTCTTCTTCTTGAAAGTTCTCTTATTCATTTTATTTTCTTTTCCTTTCTACTCTTGTCCTCGTCCTAGTCCTTTATATCGCGAATAGTAAAGAAAAGATCGACGAGAAACGAGAGAGAAAGATCGGTTTGTTTGATAGTAGAATAGAAAAACGGTTTCTTCTTCTTCTTCTCTCTTTTACTCACCGACAGAGGAAGTCCCTTTCGCCTAGGCAGAGTTCCAGACAATGTTGTCGCGAGGACGCGCTCATGGTCCTGCGCGCGTGACCCTGAAGACGATGGCCCTGTACTCTGTCGATGCACCAAGCGCGTTCGCACGGTTTCACAGCGAGACAACTCTTCTGAGCGTAGATCGTGAACACTGGAAATTGCGATTGCGAGAGAGCACCTGAAACAGAATGACGGGGGGTCACGATTAGAAAAAAAGGCCAAGTTGCAGAGAGAGAGAGAGAGAAAGAGAATGGACGAAGAAAGATCCAATGGATGGAATAGAGAAAAAAAAAGAAGAAGGTCCGTTTGAATGTTTTCACTTCCGGCAGRAGTCGTCGTCGTCCTTTTGTCGCTCTTTTAGAAAGTTATTTCGCGACTCGCCAAATTGTAGGAAGACGTGGTTACTTGTGTTGTTGTTATATACGCGTACTCTCCGGGGTAGTTCGCATTACCGTAATCAATGTTCGCTTCCTGGGGACTTAGGTGCTCAAGACAGGTAGCACTTACTGTTATAATGGGCTGGTATTACGAGATAATGAAGGCGCCGCTTGGATACTAAGTATTTCGTATTCTTACCTACGGGGATTTTATCGAAGGATCCGATATAGAATTATGCGACTTTCTCTTCATCGTTCTTTCTTAATACGAACTCTACGAATCATGTTCGTTCGTTCRTTCGTTCTTCTTCTTCTTTCGTAATATCTTAGAAAAGAACCGGGTATAAGGTTGATCTACGCGCGTTGTATATGTAGATATACCGTATGTACCTATAGATGAGAACGCAAATTATCTACAAATTTTCATCCTTCGCAAACTCTCGTGGAAACCAATTAGAAAGCGTAAAACGCTTATTTCGATCGGCATAAAATATAATTTACCGATTATCGTACCCGGTGCCTATTTCTATCTATCTTTCTCTCTCTCTTTAATTTTTCGCCTTCCTTTTCATTCCTTCTTCTTCTTCGTATACCCTCAGCGACCTTGATCCCTCCGCACAGCGAGTAATCATCGACTCGATCAATTCCGCTATTTTACATGTTACCATCTCTCAAACCAGTTAAACGTAAACGGACGAAAGATGGACCACGAAACCAACCGGCTAGATTGGTTTACCTCAGAGAGTCTTCGTGTTTTTCGCGTACACCTGTTATCCATAATTATTACCGCAAATGCGTTTTCCACGAAAGTCCATTTCCTAGTGCATTCGTGCGTTCATTCGTTTATTACGATACGAAAGTTTTCAAAATAGAAGAGAAGAAGAAGAAGAAGAAGAAGAAGAAGAAGAAGAAGAAGAAGAAGAATGAAAGAATTTATTTCTGATTTCTTTTCTTCTTCTTTTGTTTCATTTTATTTTACTGCAAGATCTTCACAAAAATATATTTTTCCGTATAAGAAAAATATTGCATACTCTTTCTTTTCCACGATTCGATTTTGCCCGGTAAACTAATATCATGAATAAGTCGATTTTACCATGTGAACTGTAGAAAAAGAAGCACACTTTTGAATTCATGCCAATATTTTCAATCGGTCCTTTTGCACCACTCAGAGAACATTTTCTATGTGCTGGAAGACAGTGATACTTTCTTGGGATCGAATCTATTCCTACTACGACGTTTTAAGGTCGCTTGTGTCTATGGAATCTTTTGCATCTTCTCTACCAACTTGTTTTACCATAGTATACCTTAGGTCTTTTCGTATTTTACTTTCAAACGTAGTACTACTACTACCGAAGGAACGTCACTATGAAAGTAAATCTATGTACAATTTTGTTGGTGCATTCTGCTAGAACCTAATATGTGTCACATTGCAATTCTTATTAAGATTTTAAGTCCCATATTTTTTTAATAATTAAATAATTATTTAAAAATACGAGTATATCGTACATAGAATTTAATTAACGTTAGAATTGTTTGATAAAAATAATGAAAATAAATATATTATAAAGTTACTTTTTGTTTTACAAAACAAAAGAGAAGAAAAAAAAGCCTATAAATAAAAATAGTTAAAATAAAGTATTGTATCAGATAAAAACGTGTAAGTTTTAAACCGACACGTAATACTGTCTCGTTCTGTTCTATTCTGTTTTGTTCTGTTCTGTTACGTGATGGCATGTCTCTAATTTGCGTGCATGCACACACAACAACGACACGAATTTAACACACGAAACATCGAGCAAGTCGTGTTATAGGAGGATGAGAAAAGGGGAATGGTCGAAAAACGTTAAATAAAGGTAACGTGCAAACGTGGCAAATTTACGAAGGAACACGCACACGAAGAAAAGAAAAAAAGTAAGAAATAAATAAAAGAAGGAAGGAAGATGACGATGTTTATGAAGATTCTTTTTAAACATAATCAACTAACACGCGAATCGTTATCCGAAAAAAGAAAGAAAAAAAAAATGATAAGGTAATCACTTTAGATGCTTTTCACGAGAACAGTTTTTGCTAACTACTGCATATATTACGTTGATCGAAAACTGCACGATTGATGATTGGTCCAGCGAATATATTTGAGATAAAACGAAAGAAAAAAAAAAAAAACATGCTTGAATAATTTACGAAATGGCTGAATGAGAGAAAAGGTGAGTGCAATTTTTTTTATCGTACGAACTGGACTGGAAGAGTTGAATAAAAAGAGTATTAAAAAAAAAGTATGCAAAAGAGAGTAAGAGAGAGAGTAAGAGGAAAAGGTATAGACTGTTCGATGCGTTAAAATTATATTGTAGATCGCAAAGACGAGATGCGTTACTCGATCGGCAACGATCAACGTAGCCGGTAGTCGCCTAGAACACAACGTGAAAGAAATAGAAGAAGAAGAAGACGGTAAGATAGATAGATAGATAGATAGATAGTAGATAGTAGATAGATAGATAGAAAGAAAGAGACAGACAGAAATACGAGAAAGAGAGAGAGAGAAGTATAGTACAGGTAGTTAGGTATGACGAAGGCGATGACTACCGGTCATTTCTTGGCGAGTGCCGGTGCTTCTAACCATGACTACGCGTCTTCGGATTCGTTGAAAGGCTTCTTGCTAGCATGACTACACGACTTTTACGCACCTGCTTGCTTCTCTTTCTTTCTTTCTTTCTTTCCTCATTGCGTTCACGATGGTAGGAAAGAAGAAGAAGCAGAAGAAGAAGAAGAAGTTAGGATTGATCATCGATACGCGAGAGACAACGTTTCCCTTCGACTACTACCACCTATGTGCTACGTGACGCAACTTTCTTTTACTTCTTGAACCGACTACTCAACAAGGATTATTCGGTTCGTCTAAAAGCGATTCGTATTTAAATTATGATGCATTCGTTGCAAAGCTATGCCTCTGGTGTCGAACTAACGGTTGCTGTTTAGCTTCTATTTCTTTTTATTTTAAATGCACGAACCTATTGAGAGTACCTAAGGTATTTAAAGTTTCGAACAAACTCTTAGAAAAATTCATCGTACGTTGAACGCGGAACTACTTGGTTACATACATAAGCAAAATCCCTTTTTCCATTTGCCTTTTTTATTTTTTTTATTTTTTTATTTTTTTTGCATTTTTAATAAACTTACGAGAGTAAGTACTTGGATTATTTTTCAAATAAAAGAAAATAAATAAAATATTACGATGTACTGTTTAAAATAGAAAAATCCCTCGATGATGATGTGCTTTTATCGACGCGCTTATGGCGTATTATTTTTTCGAGTGTTTCTCAAACGTTCTTGAATATCCTTATATATATCGTAGTAGCTTTTCTCCTAACCGTATATTTAATATACTCTTTTATGTCTTTACTATCTTTTCCGCTCTCTATTTTCGCTTTCTTCAACTTTGAAGAGATGGCATTGGAAGAAGGAGAAGAAGAAGAAGAAGAGAGGAAACACATTGGCTTGCCTCAAGGATGCAAGGAACAATAACACTTGGCTTCTCTATATGTTATCACATAACACAAGGACGCGAGATCCTTGGTAGAATCCAATAACCACAAGCCGAGCAGCAGCCCTGCACCGGTAACACCCTCTAGGGACCCTATATAGAGTCCTGTAGTAGTAACAGATAGCAAGTTCTGTGTGCCACGGACGACCACGAAGACGTCCTCGTTGTCCTCGTCGTTGTCATATACTTCTACCCTCCTTCTCCTCCTCCTCCTCCTCCTCCTCTACCTTTCTCATACTCTTGCTTCTCTTCAGCGGAAGTGCGCACGGATTCTCTCTCTCTCTTTCTTCACCTCTTCCTTTACTCTCTAACTAGTCGGGTTATCTCCAACTATTAGCGCTCGACTCTATGCAAATTCGAACGGCCAAGCAGCAGCAGCAGCAGCAGCAGCAGCAGCAGTGCCGTTCAAGCGAACCCCATAAATTTCGGTGAACACGAGTGATCTCGGCACTCTGTTCCTCTCTCTGTTTCTCTTTTTCTCTGTTTCTTATCCTGTTCCTTCTTCCAACGTAAAGTAGTAGTATTCGTGCCCTCTCGTTTAACGACACGAGGTAAACGTACACGGAAGACCGCGAGTGCACGCCTCGGTTGTGCCCCCCACGACATCACACACACACAACTATGTACATGTATACATAAGGAACGTGCGAACGAGTCAAACCAAGTTTTAACGCTTTGCTTTTCCAACCTGATCGTGTAAATCGCTACCTTATATGTATAACGTATAAACGTCTTGCAAATAATGTTCACGCCTGTAAATTATTTTCTAAGATCTCCAATGAATTCATCATTGTTACATGTAAATTATATTTCAAATCTGTTCTTTGCTTGATCAACGATAATGAAAAAAAAAAAAAAAAGAAAAAAGAATAATCTAAAAGGTAACCGTGTTATAGATGAAATCACTGTGATGTAGATTTGTTGGCTATTAGATTGAGTCCATTTGAACGATATTAACGGTGGAGAAAGGTGGAACGTTATACGTGTGTGTGTGTGTGTGTGTGTGTGTGTGTGTGT